GCCCACAGCCTCCCGGAGCCCGCCCACAGCTTCCGGGGCCGGCCCACAGCCTCCGGGGGTGACGCCCACCTCCTCCCGGGGCCGGCCCACAGCTTCCGGGGGTGACGCCCACCTCCTCCCGGGGCACCGCCCACATCCCCCCGGAGCCCGCCCACAGCTTCCGGGGCTGGCCCGCCTTCCCCCGGGGCGGGCCCACGGCCTCCGGGGGTGACGCCCACCTCCTCCCGGAGCCCGCCCCGGCCCACAGTCTCCGGGGCGCGGCCTGCGGACTCCGGCCCTTCTCCCTGCCGCCCAGCGCGCACGGTGGCGGCGGCCTGGCGGGGTGCGGATACCGCCGCCTGAGGACCCGGCGCGGCGACGGCGCGGCGCCGTGGTGGGCGCCCAGTTTCCTGGGGGGAGGCAGTGCCCCTCTGCTGAAGGGACACGCTCTTCACCTGCATGGCTTCGGCCTGGGGACGTCCCGAGGCGCCCCGTGCCGGCCAGGCGACGGTTCCTGTCCTGTGGCTCCGCGCTCCGGAGCCGGCACCCGTGCCGTCAGGACGGAACCGGACGGGACCGCATCCGACCTGTTGAACAGTTCCCTCTCTGCGACCCTGGCGGGTCGGGTGGAGTGACTGGCCCCGGTGCCGTTCGCACCCCTCATTCCATTGACTAAAGCAGGGCCAGGCCCGGGTGCGCCAGGGAGGCGCTCACCCCGTGTCGTCGTCCGGCCTCCCCTGCCTCCCCCAGGTCCCGGCCTGGTACTCAATATTCCTTTAGTCAGCTGCACCTTCCCAGGTGTGAAAGGGCGTCCAGAAATACATAGTTTCAATTCTCGACGACAGTGTAACGATATATCCTTAAATGAGAGAGCCTGTTTACAGCAGGTTGAACCTAAAGTATTATCTGTTGATTCCTCATTCTGAAACACGTAATTGGTTCATGAAAAATAGTAATTAAAACAATAAAAAATTACCTTTTTTTCTATTTACCATTCTTGCATGTAGAGCATGAAAACACTACTCAGAATTTAGCAACAATTAATCTCATGGCTAGAGAGAAAACAAGAAAATAATAAAACACCATCCTGAAGCATTACATCAAATATACTCTGAACTTCTAGGGACAATTAGGAGCTGGGAAAATCTTAAATGTTGTACAAACCGTTGTAATTAGAGTAGAAATGTACAAAAATCAAAGACACCAAAAAAACCCAAAAAGTCCTGAACCCTTTATTTGGTGTTATGTGCGTTTTACTTGGATTGTTGAAGCATGGATTCAGTAATTAAATGGTAAATAATCTAAATATATGAAAGTTGCTTAACAGTTCCAAGGTGATTTTAGAGTAGAACAATTTTAGAGTAGGTGCCAAAAATTTATCTTCCTAATTGCCAGATTCTCAAAAGAGACATGTGATTCCTAAAATATTTAAGTAAGATTAAATAAGATTATCTTGTTAAATAAGATAATGCTGGACTGAAACTAAAACAAACATGTATCAGTATCTGAGATCTCATCCCCCTCCCTCCATCTTCCCCTTTGTCCACCATTTTTAATGGCTGAAATACTGGAATCTGGCATTTATTT